TAAATTGTCAGCAATTCGGTCATGTACAAAAGTTTTGCACTATTAAAACCCCTACTTGTGCTAATTGCGCCGCCGCACACGAAACGCGAGCTTGTCCAGATAAAGACACACCAGATTTTAGCCCACGTGCGCACAGTGTAAGCGGTTCAAAAACCATCTGACCATCGATGCGGCTCATACGACTGTGCACCATACAAATTAAAACTGGAACAGCTAATATTAAATACCAATTACTGAATAGTTTAACTTAGTTTAAAAAAAAAAAAAAAAAAAAAAAAGGTTTAAAGAGTAACTTACTAAGTAATGAATAATATTTCGATAGGCCAGTTAAATCTTCATAACGATAAAATAGCTACATCAGAATTAGACCGTTTAATTTTAGAACAAAAGTTAGACATTGTCCTTTTACAAGAACAATATCAGAGCGCTCGCTTGCGTCGTAATGTAGTACAGCTTGACTGCCGTTCGCAGGCTGGGATATATGTTGCAAGTTCTAATTTTACGGTTACATCTTTGCGTAATCTTATGACGTCACACTGCGCCGTTGCTGAGATCTCATCCTCTACCTGTAAGGTTTACGTAGTGAGCTGCTATTTTCAATACTCACATCCTATTGATCCTCACTTACATCACTTACGTTACGTCTTGCAGTTCCTCGTGGGACATAAAATTATCATTGGCGCTGATGTCAATGCGTCATCTTCATTATGGTATGGCAAGTTGCGTTCAACCGACACGGTTCGACGTTGTGCGGTTGAAGATTTCATTGCGGAAAATGAATCTTATTATTCACAATACCCCCGATGCACCACCAACTTTTTGCAACCCAATGGGTGAGTCTTCTATTGACGTGACGCTTACGCGCGGCGACGTCTCGATATCCGGATGGCGTGTCCTTCCGGACGCATCTGTAGTGATCACCGCTTGATCGTGTACGAATTCACACCAAGGGTTGCACAGGATCCACAAAGGGCTCCCTATAATTTTAGATATAAAACTAAAGGTGCGAACTGGGCTTTGGTTGGTTCACTCTTTGCAACTCATACCAAAGACTTCAGTCTCAGTAGTTTATCAGCTGAGGAAAGCGCAGAAATACTATCAGAAACTTTTACATACTGCGCTGATGTAACTATTGGTCGCGGATCTATCACTAACACTCGTAGATGTGATTGGTGGAATGATAGATTAGCCGAACTACGTAGAAGCTACCGGAAAGCTCGTAGAAAATTAAACACTATTAAAAAACATAACGTAACAGGAGATTTGTACAACAATGCTCTCATTGCTCTTAGAGTTGCCAGGTCCCACTACAGAGCTGCTGTGGAAAAATCCAAGGGAAACTTAATTCAGAAACTTGTTGATAAACTCGATAGAGAGGGCCCGTGGTCACCTTTGTATCACGAATTTAAAGCAAATAGATCAATCGACCTTGCATACATACAGAACATCAAAATTAATAACAGATATACCACAGGAGTAGAACAAACAGCAGAATATCTTTTAGACTCACTCGTACCTGACGATCGACCGGAGAACGACACTGATCATCACCGACAGATCAGGCAGTGGGCCATCGAACCACCACAATCTCCAATGTCTGATTTACCATCTTCAGACGAATTTCTCGGTATCATTAGATCCTTGCCGCTAAACAAGGCTTCGGGCGATGATAAAATATCTAACAAAATGATAAAAGAAGCTTGTAAACTTTCGGGTGACACGATTTCACTGTCTTTAAACGTTGCATTGCTGAAGGAATATTTCCTCGTATATGGCGGTGCGGTAATATTCGTATAATACCAAAAAGTGGCGACAAGCCACCGGATGATCCTAAATCCTACCGACCAATCACATTGTTACCATCGTTAGGAAAGCTTTTAGAACGTCTTGTAGTGCCCCGGCTTCTGCCAGGTGGAGTCAAATTTCATGATAGACAATTTGGATTTACGTTGGGTAAATCAACAACTGACGCTGTTATATCGGTTAGAAAGTTTGTCACAGGGTCAAAATTTCAATACGTGCTGGCTATTTTCTTAGATATATCTGGCGCCTTCGACAACGCATGGTGGCCCATGCTGTTGCTGAAATTAAAATCACGGGGGTGCTTTAAAAATATTTATTCCCTTATCTCTTCGTACTTTTCACAAGGTACAACTAAACTAAGACTTGGTCATCATTCTGTGTCGAAGGCGCTTACAATGGGATGTCCTCAGGGATCGGTGCTAGGTCCATACTTGTGGAATATCGGCTTCGACGATTTTCTTGCGATACCAATACCATCCGGATGTACTCTGAACGCGTATGCTGATGACGGCTTATTACTGGTGGAATCTGATACTAGGGCGGGGCTTGAGAGATTAGCCAATAGATGTTTGAACTTGATATCTCAATGGGGTGAACGTAATCGCTTAACTTTTGCACCCAACAAAACCTTCCAGCTACTTTTAAAAGGTAACCCCAAATCACCGCCGAGCATTAGATTTAACAATGTTACTGTAAAAAATAAAACCACAGTGTGTTATCTAGGATTAGTTTTAGAAAGAAACTTTTCATTTATCGAACATATTAAAATAGTTAATGAAAAGTCTAAAAAGAGTTTCTGTGCATTGACAAGGATATCAACTGCGACATGGGGTCTATCATTTAATACATTAAAGATCATATACGGAGCTACTTATTTAGGTTCTATGTGCTATGGTGCACCTGTATCGGGCCGATAGGGCGACCGTAGGCGCTGTCCGTCGCAAACTGTTACAAGGCCAACGACTTGCACTGATATTCTTGTGTAAGGCATATAGGACGGTTAGCACTGAGGCTTTGCCGGTGTTGGCGGGTGTGCTTCCGGTCGATCTCGAGGTGCAGAGACGTGCAGCCATGTACTATTCAAGACAACAAAACATGGAATGCGATTTTTTAGGCGCGCGGGATCGCGGTAAAATTACAAGATTGCTTCAACAGCAGCCCGATGTCTATAACGACCTCATAGACGAATGGCAACAACGCTGGGATGAATCATCCAAGGGGCGCCATCTTTACCAATTCTTTCCATCTGTTCGCGAACGGTTGTCGAGGATATGGCTTGAGGTGGATCACTGTGTCGCTCAATTTCTTACGGGTCATGGTAACTTTAAGAGCAAGCTTTATTCATTTAAATTAGTCGAGTCACCACTGTGTCAATGCTCAACACCTAACTCTCACTATGAACAGTCTGCTCATCATATCCTCTGGGAATGTAGTCTTTGGTATAATGAACGTAATATAATGCTGAATAGCTTGCAGGTGACATCTGGGGCGGTATACTATGGGGATCTTGTGTCAACTAGGGTGAATTTCCGTGCGTTTAGGCGATTCTGCCATACATATTATAGAAATCAAACATAGCTTACGTAGGACCCGTAATATTTGTGGCCGTGGTGCTTCCCTGTTTAAAAGGGTGTATGCCCATTTTTACTTCATTTTGTCTCCCGCTTTGCTAAGGAGGGAAGTGGATTTACTGTATTTCCAACTCCTCCAATTTTCTTCTGATTAATTTCGTTGCGGGTTCCAAGACAGTTTAATTTCTTCCTGGGACTTCCCGAGTGTCATAACTCGGTGTGTTCGTGGGTCACTGCTGTGGATCCTGGTGTACAGGAGTTACAGTGGTGGGCGTGTGGGTGGGATTAGTCCCATTAAAAAAAAAAAAAAAAAAAAAAAAAAACACATACACACTTAACCATAACTGAGGCAAATGCAGGTAGAACCGAGGCAGAACAATTTGAGATGGGAATTATAGCCACTGATCTATTTGATGAAATAGCAGGTCTGCTCACGACTCTGCACTGCACTGCTTGTGAGGTCGATATTAAAACGACAAAATTAAACATCCTTTAAAAAGATTAAAATCGGTTTTTTTTAGGAGCACCTCCTATAATAGGATGTTAACAAGATTCAAGTTGGAAAAATTTGTTCTCAAAAATTGAGGAGCTTCTAGGGGAAAAGTTACTTCGACGAAAATAACAGGTAAAGAGATGACTCAGAACATTTGACAAAGTAGCTTAGTTAACCACCATTTACCTCTTCTATAACGGATAACAATGTCGATAGTAAGACTAACAGGGGTAACAGGGCATTGGTTCATAGTCCAGTCACTTTAGGCAAAAAAAGGGGTCAATCTTGGAATTGGAGATAATAAGCTGGAAACTCGTATACAGCTTCATTTTGGCGTTCTAAAAGTTGTCTCAAAAGTCTCATATTATCTCGTGTCTTCGTCGCAAGTTATTCGAGGTCAAAGGTCACGAAAATCGTTTTTTTTTTTGCAATTATCTCCGTTTCTATGGATCCAATCACTTCAACACCTATTATGAAAATTGAAGATAAAAAAAATTGCCATAGTTTTTTTCTCAACTCTTTTTCTGTACGCTCAACCCTTTTCGAGATAGAGAGCGGAGAGCACCCAGCGCTCAGGCATATATACTGTAATACAAGGTCAACCGTGAATCTCGGTGAATAATACCTTGTATATAGTTATTAAATCATTAAAATACTATCAACAATAACTAATTCGTATTATTTATTAGTTAATACATTGTATTGAATATATTACTGTCTTATAAATCACTACTAACAAATAGAGTGTTTAGGCCTTTAACCTCATGAAAACTAGCAGACACTAAAAACAAAAGGAAAGTTAAAAATATAAAGCATAATCATGACTTCATTTTATATAAATACAGACAGAAAAGAGGTAAATGAAAGGACATCTAGATATAACTGGCCACAAACAGGTTTGTTAACCATAAGGAGGGTCAATTATTTGTCGTAATTTAAAGCATGATGCAACTTTCTTGAAGGTAACTATGTTTATTACATTAGCAATTATTTTCATTCTATTTGTGCTATTAAAAAGAAAAATCCCTATTTTTGTACTTATTTTTTATTATGTAACATTATAAATGTTTAAAAGGAGTTACAATTAAAAAAAAAACAGTTTTATTCTTAATTATAACAACATTTCTTAATAATCACACACAAACCTTTTTACAAGGAGGTTCTTCATTAACACTGAACAAAACCTCTTTTGTTAATCTGAATGTAATTCTCATCATTTCTTTTTTTGGGGACACATTTCTAACATCAAAAATATCTACAATATCATTTGAAATGTCACATCCAATATTTTCATTTACCTTTTTCTTTGCAATGTCAACTGGATTGGTACCATTTACAAAACAGTAAACATAAACAAGTATTTCATGATTGAATTTTTCTGCTAAGCACTCATCTTTCAATAAGCCATTGAAGTATTTCAAGAATTCCACAGCCATCACAGGTAGATTCATTGTAATATGAATCTTACCTTGTAAATTTTCATTTCCTTTACATAAATCAATTAAATAATCTTTAAAAACAGTGCAAATAAAATCCTTGCCATCTTGATTATAAGACTTAAAAAAAGATACATTAAGTTTATTATATTTTGCATTGTGATTCAACCATTTATAGGAGTCTGGGTTCAAATCATTGGCAAAAACTTTGGTTTTCCGTTTTGCGGCAGGAACTGCGAAAGGGCCAACACCACAGAAAACATCAAATAACACATCATCTGGCTTTAAGAAGCTTAATATTCTTTCATGTTCCTTACCAAGACGAGGATTCCAGTACACTTTAGAGAAATCAAATTGGAAAATGCAACGGTTTTCTTTCACAGTCACAAAGAAGTCTTCTTCGCCTGCAATTACTTCCATACTAAAATTTCTAAATGTGTTATCAATGATATTGTTCTTGTTGACTACAGTTCTGCATGTCTTAATCTTGTCCAGAAGTACTTCTCCAATAATAAAGCGGTATTCAAGTAAATGATCCTTTAAATTTAAGTGTATTATGTGTCCAATCTGAGAAAAACCACTGACAGAAATTTCATCTTCAGGTAAAACAGCTTTAAATATTGCTTCAACCTTGTAGTTGTCATAAGTTAGTTGTATTTTTCTGTTATCAAAATTTTTTTCTGTCACATCAAGTTGACACAGAGCTCTGCGGTCACCCTCAGCTATGTCAGCAAACTGAGTCACCTTTTCAGGGTTTAAATGAATGTATTTCTTGTAAATGCCGGTTTCATCATCTTCTATACTTTGCACCGGTTTAAATACTTCAAGTTTGAGAAAGTAGCCCTTACAAATACTAGTAATCTTTGACAAATTTTCTTCTTTGACCTTTAATACAGGAACACTCAAATTGCGCAAGAATTTCTCACGGTCCAACACTTTCATACCACGGACCCCATCAGGCACTAACTGAACGATAGCGGACGCACTCATTTTACGTATTATAATGCCGATATAACCCAAAGTCATATCAAAATAGTGTAAAAAGTAGTAATAACATCGCCAATACTAACCTATTTAGAGGTCAGAAACAGCGTGGGTCTTCTTGTGAGTAACAGCAGTTGATGAATATTTTTCGACACTTTTGATGTTATGAGTGTAAATTTTATACATAAATTTATCACAACTTTATTTAGAGAAAATCCAGATTTTGTTATATCTGACACTTGAAGTAAAATTTGTTCAGTCAGTGAATTCATTCCTTGACACTTTACTTAACAAGACTTTGACATTGATAGTTACGTTTCGTTTCTCAGATTGTTTTTATGGATTCATATTGAAAGGAGATTCAACAAAATAATGTAAGATTGTATTTGAATTTCGTTTTTAAATATTTTTACTATAATATTATTATTTATTATAAGGTAGAAAGGTAATTTTTTATGTAGTACAAAAATGTTTTTTTATGTGTTATGTGAAATGAGACCTGCTAAGTGAAGAATTGTTATAAGGTCTTTCTAATCTATGAGTTACCGTTGGACAGTTCTGATATATTGCAGAATAGTTTAAGAAAAAAAAAACGATTGCCACATATTCGATTCTTAAGAGAAATCGATATCAGTTCTTTCCAGTTACACAGATTTATGTCTGTTACTGTGAAAGCCTGTATATTTTTATATCTGAGGTCTTACTAGTGCATCTTAGTGGATACCAATGTGTGTAGGTATATATCACAATTTTATAAGAGAGAGATAATTTTTCGGGCTTTTTAGTTCCATCCTTTTTTTTTTAACGTGTGGAAATCCCCTCGGACCGTCACCCCACCGGGGTTTGCGGCGGGGTGGTGTGTCGGACTCGGACCGACTAAAACCACACGGTGTGCCACTCTACGCCTGTAATAGGAGGGATCCGGGAACAGCTGTTATTAAGACATCCGGACCCCTCCTAGCGCCAGTCGGTTCGCCGGCGGCGGATCGGGTCCGAGTGGAGGTCGTCCTCCCGGGCCTTCTCCGCCGCCTCCTTCTGCGAGATTACTTCCTCGCAGAAGGTTGCGACCGCGGTAAAACAACTGTCGCTACCGGCTATGGAGCGTACTACGGCCGGTAGCGAGAGATCCACTCCGATGACTGCAGTGAGGGCCCGGCGCTGCGTCGCCCATGCGGGGCAGACCGCCAGCGTGTGCTGGGCCGAGTCCTCACTGCAGTCGCAGTGGTGGCAGGCGGGACTCAGTTCCCTCCTAGCGACCGAGTGCAGGTACTTTAGTAAGGGTCCCGTGCTGCCGCCCTGCCCACTCGGCGATGACCGGCTGGAGAGCCTCCACGGCGGCGAAGCCAGCGCGTGGAGTCTCCAGCCGGAACGACCAACGAGCCATCGTGGCTCGGCGAGCGGCTTCGCGCCACTCGCGCTCATCCTCGGGCGGGGGGCGAAATCCGCTCTCCGCCCGTCAGCCACTCGCCGATAAACTTCGGCGAGCACTTCCGCCTCCAAATCCCACGGGGGAGTTCCGGCCAACGCGCACGCCACCTCCGTCGACACGGTGCGGTAACCGCGTATGGCTCTGACCGCCATTACCCTCTGAGGGCGCCAGAGGCGTGCCCTATTCTGGGCGGTCAGAGCCGCTGCCCACACCGGTGCACCGTATAGTGCCATTGACCGGACAACCCCCGTGTACAGCCGTCTTGTCGCGACGCTGGGTCCACCCAAATTGGGCAAAAGTCGCTCTAGGGCAGACGCAGCGCCGACCAGCTTTGGAGCAAGCTGTCGGAAGTGCTCGTCGAAGAGCCACCTACCGTCGAGGATCAGGCCCAGATATTTCATCTGGGCCCGAACCGGTACGAGGACCGAGTTGACCACGATTGAGGCGCCAGGGGGTGGACCACGACGGGGCCCATGAGTTCCATCCTAACCTAACCTAGCCAGATTTAAAAAAAAAATTGCCTTTCAAGCGATTTTGCCTACTAAGTTTTGTTTAAAATTACATTAACTCACACATTTTTAGTTTGAATTATGCGTTTTCGTTGACAGTTGGATGTTACCTGAAGTTACTGATTTGAAACATTAACAGAAGTCTGAATTGAAAACAGTAGGTGATTAATAAATTCGATTATTCTTTCAATTTAACGATCATTCGTTTACAAGTGAATTTGAAGAATTGCGACACTGCTATTTTGCGTAGCGTTGCGACTCTTCAAATTCCCTTGTATACGAATGTATACGTTTCAAATCACGTAATAAGGTCCTTTACAGTAGTAAAGTAAAGGACCTAATTACGTGACTTTGAAACGAAGTCTAAAAAATCTATTGTATATATTGGTTATTTTGCTTTGTTTAAAATATTTAAATTTATTAAGAATTGTACATCTTGTGATGAAATAAAAATAGTGTCATAACTCTATGGTTTTACGGCAAATGTTATTATAATTGTGTGAGTTACCCTAATACGAAGTTGTTTCGGTTTGAAAAGTATGAAACGTCAAACGGTACCTATTAAATTAGATAGACTATAAATCAAAATAAAATCCTCTTTAAATTCAGTAAAAATGCACCAGCATTAAGGGGCAATTAGTTCAAACATGTTTATTAATGAATTCATTAAATTATTTCTCGGAAATCTGTATCCATACAGAACCGAGTGTATATTGGAATGGAGAGTACAGTTTAGTAAAATTTAGGTGAGTGAGTGAAGGTACTGGAGGCTTAACTAGCTCCCCTCCTATTTCTTTGCGGGCTGAAGGGACACTCCAAGGGTTACAACTCACTTCTGTCGCTTAAGTTGTAGGTGCTCATGGACGGCAATAGTCACTTACCAACGTCTACTTCTTTACTCTTTATAAAGGGTAAAAGAGGGTAACTGACAATGGTATACCCTACCATACAAAAAAGTCGAAGTCATTATTTAAATTGTGTAGGTGAGCTAAAGTGACAACTAACAATAAAAGCGTATTTTTTTTTTTTTTTAAAGACAACTCCCGCATTAGGAATAAGTATATCCTGTGACGCGGGGGACTTTACAAACATACATGAAACGGACACAAAGAACATCCAGACTCAGAACAACAATTTGTGAATCACACAAAGTGTTGTTCCATGTGGGGATCGAACGGACAATACTCAGCGCAGTAGAAAGCGGCGAGGTAACCGCTTAAACTACTACGCCATCCGTGCAGTCAATAAACATGTAGATTTAGTGATAAAACTGTTTTAACACAGCATCTAGTACCACGTTTATAAACGAGCGAGGTTGACTCTCAGATAATCATTAAATCAGTTCTAAAAACAGGGTATAAACTTGCAAACAAAATTTTCTTTGTACTTTTAACGCAATTGATTTCAGTTTAGAAATTGAGTATTATTGGATTTGAGATTTTAATTGAAATATGCCACGCTTAATTCTGTTCTTTATTTGGTACTGCGATTGTTAGAAGGTACCTACGAGTATATTGTGATAGTCTAGTAGTATACCATGCGCATGCTAAATGGCGTACTTTTACGCCTGGATTAAAGAAAACAATGTAAATATAAACTTGTTATTGCAACAATGGTTATGAAGTTCTTTTCTCTACGATAAAGGTAAGTTACAGTTTTTTTTATCATCTTATAACCCTAACTGAACTAAGTAATAGGTATTATAAGCACATCTATTTTTCATTGGTGTTTGTATGTTCGTTTGTTACTGCTTAACGTTTTAGTTATTAAACTGACCCGCGAAATAGTGCATACATGTTGCCAAAGTACAGAAAATGACACAGGACCTTGACCTATGACTTTATAAAGATCCCAGGTCGACAGTTTTTATTTCATAAAATTATTTGAAATCGTCTTTTTCCAAAGAGTCTTCTTGGAAGTAATTGGTGTAAGAGTATATGGTGATTCAACTAAAAACCACCATGACGGCCGGCTTCAGGTGTCTTACTCTGGGGAGGACCCGGACCATGTTATTTCATGTCCTCCCCGAATTGACACCATGCCTAATCAGGCTCTATCCAAGGGCAGAACACTTCCCCCCACCGCACTGAGGCCCTAGTGTAAGTTTATTTCACTCGTTCGCGCGTTCGCCGTCGATAGTGAGTTGATTTGAAATAAACTAACATTAAGGCCTCTGAAAACTGCACCAATCTCAACGCCAAACGCGCTCGTTATTGAGTTATCCACCAGGCCCTCACAGCGAGCCAAATAAATATCCACATATACATATAGATACTCAAAAAACATGACTCTCTTGACGCAGTCAGATAGAAAGAGCAAGTAGATGACGATATGACTACTATGTTTACTGTAGTTAGTGAGATCGTAACCTTCTAATAGTTTTATCGTCCACATATACCCAGTCTCGTCTATTTTATTTTCCCCAGCTATCCACGCAAAGGTTGTATTTTCTTAACATCTCTAAAGGTTAATAGAATTTTCTCAGGTTCATTGTTACTACAAATACGCGGCCATTTTGTACGAGTTATGTGCAATTCTGGTGCTCTTGTATTTATTTCGACGTGTATTGAACTATATATTCCTGGCTGGCTATCTCAGTTTACAATAAGTGTTGCTAGAGTTTTTCTATCTTAGAAAAACCATTTATTACCATTTTAACAGTGTAAAGTTAAGTAAGAACCTATTTTTTTACAAAGCTACATTTTTTTTTCTTTGGTAATGGTACAGAAAGGCCAATTCATCAATTTAATGAGTTTTCTCAATACAGATTAGACTTCAGGGAGCCTCCTGTATTGTAACTGTACTATTTAGTCCCTTTTTTTTAAAGAAACTCCTGAACTTTATATGATACCTGGAATACACAAACATTCAAACAAGAGACACAGAATATCCACTCTGGATACTTGTACTTGTTGTTGATTGATCAACAAATACAAGTATTCAGTATTCAATATTTAGTATTGTAACGTATCGAATCGACAACGACGGTGTGTCGTAGTGTCGAGGCGATTACTTTAACCATTGCACCACCCGTGGTAATCATAGTACACATAGTACTTTTACATACA